GGGACCCTCCACTCGGGAGCCTCCACTCACCAGTTCAGGCTTCCACCCGAGCATCTCCTGCCTCAGGCTCGTTTTCCCCCGCCTCAGTTTCCCCTCTTGCTCCACAGCTGCTCTCGCGGTGGGTTTGGGATGAAGGGAGAGTTCCCCAGGGGTTTGGTGCCTCTGGGAGAGGACCAGGGACACCGGGCTGTCCCCAGGGTGTCCGAGGTGTCTCCTGGAGGGCAGAGCTGGGTGCCTGCAGAGAAAGAGTGAAGCTGAAGCTCTGCTGCCATCCTCCTCCTCCTCCTCCTCCTCCTCGTCCTCCCTGCCCGGCCCTCCCTGAGGGAAGGGGGACAGGAGTTTTTGGGATGAAATAGGGATAAAAAGGCTTCTTCTGCTCCTCTTTGCTGCGGGAGGGAGGGGTGTCTCTGCTGGAGGGATCTTTGCCAAACCTGGCTGTGGCCTTGCTGGCTCGGGCCAGACCCCGAGGCTGCTCCCAGGGGGCTGGAGCCGCCGGAGCAGAACTGAAGGGGAAATGTGAGGAACAGTTTAGAGAACTGAGAGACCGTCCCCGGCACAGCTGGGGCCCGGCCAGGTGTCCACGTGTGGCCTCCTGTGGCATGGCCAGCTGTCCCCAGGGGTGGCAGGAGGCTGAGCCGGGCACTCGGCTCCAGCACCTGCCAAAAACATCCCAGGGAGGATTCCCAGAGGATCCCCAGTGCCGGGATCCACCCCCCTGCCGCGTGTCCGTGTGTCCGGCCGGTGGAGCCGGAGGAAGTTTGATGCATTTGGAAAGCAGAAGAGGCATCTCTGCCAACGTGTGACTGCAGCGTGGAGGGTGGCAGTGCCATGTGGGGTGGGCTCCAGGCTGGTTTCCCCCCCTCCAGGCTGGTTTCCCCCCTCCAGGCTGGTTTCCCCCCTCCAGGCCAGCGACAAGCGGAAGGCGCTGGAGGAGACGATGGCCCTGAGCACCCAGTCCCTGGCCAGTGTCACCTACCAGGTCAGCAGCCTGGCCACCGCCTTCCTGAGGCTGCTGGACCTGCAGGCGGCCCAGCTGCGCCAGGTGGAGGCCGATG